ATGTCAAGGTCAAAGGGTAAAAATTGTTGGTATCCAATGAAAGGTCTTCTCAAAAAGATTACATATGTGAAGTACGAAAGCCCAAGCCCTCACCGTTCAAAAGTTATGGTCAAGGTTAAAGTTTTTTCATAAGTATGTAAATCTCCAAGGTCAAGGTCAAAAGGTCAAGGTTGTTGGTATCCAATGAAATGTCTTGCAAAAGAAATACATATGTGAAATATAAATATCCTAGTATCTACTGTTTAAAAGTTGTGACCAAGGTTAAAGTTTTTAAAAAGTAGTTAAAACTCCAAGGTCAAGGTCAAAGGGTAAAAGTTCTTGGTATCCAATAAAAGGTCTTCTCACAAGGATTACATATGTGAAGTACAAAAGCCTTAGTTCCTACTGTTCAAAACTTATGGTCAAGGTTAACGTTTTTTCATAAGTACGTAAATCTCCAAGGTCAAGGTCAAAAGGTCAAGGTTGTTGGTATTTAATGAAAGGTCTTGCCACAAACAATACATTTGTGAAAAATGAAAGTCCTAGTACCTTCCATTCAAAAGTTGTGGCCAAAGTAAAAGTTTGAAATTTCTGTGTAAAAGTTGGTCAAACTCAAAGGTCAAGGTCAAAAGGTCAAATTTGGTGGTACCCAAAGAAAGGTCTTGTCACAAGAAATACACATGTGAAATATGGAAGTCATAGCTCTACTAAATCAAAAGTTATGGGCAAGGTTAAAGTTTTTGTTACGGACAGACAAATGAGATTTAATGTCCCCTCGCTTTCGCGAAAGCGGGGGACAATAAACATGATATTGTATTGATATAATTTCATGAATATAAAAGTTAATGTAAAGCTGAATTATTTATTTCCTAGATAGGTATTTTTTAAATTGACATCAGTTTCAGAGGCATTTTTCGATTAACTCTTGTTTTGTTTTTGTAATGTTAAATGGCTGTCGTGTTTCTCGCTCAGCAGCTTCCTTTTGTGGCTGAAGTCCCATATTGCGCAAAGGACTTATTGTGTCCTAAAAAGATAGTTCTCATCTGGATACTTCCTTTTTAAAATCCAATTAATTAGTATTGATTTTGCGATCCTTTATCTGTGAGGTTTTGTTAAACAAAGTTAATATTATAAAGATCTAAATAGATCACAAAGAAAAACTGATTTCATACCTGAGTTTTTCTCATGTGATTTTAACCCCAAAAATTATATAAATTTTGCCCACATTTTGATATTCATTATTTTTAATAGCAATTGTATTTTGAATAAGATTGCTGTTTTGTTAATATTTATTAAACAAAAAATATAAACATGGGAACCTGTAAAATCATGAAATAATACCGGAAATTTAAGAAATTATTAACTTCAAATCTATGTTTAAGTACCTTATATGTTCCGTGATAAATGAAGGAAGAAGTGTATATTTTTATTTCTATCTTACCTTATATATTCCGTGATAAATGAAGGAAGAAGTGTATATTTTTATTTCTATCTTTTAGACATCATCTGACCAGGAAGTTATTCATATGGAAACTTCCCTGTGCATGAATTTATTTAAGCCTTTTCATTTACAACACAAATAGGCCATCATTTTATTTGAATGAATTTCATTATGACACTGACACAGACTTAAGGATAAAGAAGTTCTTTTGTTTGCTAAACGGACAGGAGCGGTACATGTTTACAGCAATCTAAGGTATGACAAATTATGGCTGTTCAATTTTTTCAAAGCTTGAGAGTAAACGATTTTTTAAGCATAAAAATTTTGTCTTTTACAGAAAACTATGAAAGTGCGTTCGTGGTTTTCAGCCGTTCTCAGAACGATTCTTATCCCGTTTTCAACTGCTGAAGCAGAAGTGAATTCCGAAGAAAACGAAAATGATGCGAACGAAGAGATATCTCCCACACTGACCTTTGCACATTTGGTATCTTGCCTCTGTGTGGTGCTTGGCATTTATTCCGGGAAACAGACGACGGACGATACCGCACGGTTTGTTGTGTGGGGATTGGTCATAGGCCTTGTCGGGTGCGGATTGTTGGCCTTGATTGTCTTAATATGTTCTAACTCGTTCGTGCAAAATCAACGTGACAAAGAAGTGCCAAAAGACTATTCTCTAAATTTAAGAGTTGTTTTTCTCTGGCTCTTTGGACTTGGTGTCATTTTGAAAAGCGCTGTCTACATCGCTATCAAAATAGAATGTTTTTCAATATTGTCTCAAGATTTTATAATGTATGTCAGTATCTTTAGTACAGTCCTTTTTATTTGTTTTATTGTTTTGCAAATGGGAACCATAACATATTACAGAAACTATCATTTCAGAAAGTCAACTCGAATTAATTTTGCAATCGTATTCCTTTCGCTGGCAAATTTTGCAGTGTGGTTGAATTCTGTTGTTAGCAATTTAAATGGAATTTATGCCACAAATCCCAATGAAACCACACACATGAAAATTTTCAAAAACGAATCAGAATGCTTCTTTAGTTCTAAAATCAACAAAGGGTTAGCACAAAAGCTCATCCCCTTCTTTTTGTTGCCAACTCAGGTGGAATTTTTCATCCTAGCATCAAGTTTTGTACTGTCATTTTGGCATTCTCTGCCAGAACAACGAAGTTGGGAAACTGAAATTGATTTAGAAGAAACAGGAACGTTCTCCGAGGAATCTCAGGAACTTTTACCGCTGTTGCCTCGCAATACTGAAAATCGGGCTAGTAACGTTGTTGTCATTATGATTTCCGTCATCCTAAATCTGCCTACGTTCCTGACTTGGCTTCTCCTTTCGTTCGTGTACACAGACTTCAATATTGGACTTCGCAATGCATATGAAATCTGTAACTGTATCAATTCTATTGCGACCATCACAATTGTTTACATTGCGTTCGACCATTTATCGAAAACTTATTCCATGAGTAAATATCAGCGTTCTCTGACAACGAGTGAAATAATTCTTGTTTTCAGCTCGGCTGGAGTAGTCGCATATAGTACTTACGGACTACTTTTCGCTCTGCAAGGAAATTTTGAGGAACATTCTTCCGTCTTTTTACGAAACTTTATTGAGATAATAGAGACCTTTTTACAAACATCTCTTTTGATACAGTGTCAGCGCTACATATTATCTGAGCAAAGGTCCTCACTTCTGTCTTCTCTGGCATTAATTTTGACGATAACAAACTTAATTAATTGGTTCCTCTACTCCATATATCAAAATATACCCGCAGAAGGACAGGAGAAAATTGTTGGTAACAGACGGAATTGGGCATATGTTCAAACCATTCTTGTGCCATTGCTCATCTTCTATAGGTTTACATCTGCTATGAATTCGTATTCACTTTATCATCAGATTAAACCTTGATTGTATATATTTGATCTAAATCTTTTTAGAAATAATTTCCGAATAAAAGATATGTAAATATATTAACGTTTATTTTAACTATAAGAACTATATGTACAGACACATGCCATATAAGTTATCAGCAAATATGGCGTAACAGCGTTTGTTTACGTTGTGTTACGAGATTGATTAATTGGAAAATAAACATAATAAAATGACATCACTGTGTTAAATATTTTGTCATTTCTCCCTTCACCTTGATTACTTTTCCTATACGCCTTGGTAAAGACCTGTAGAAGCCCCGTATCTCATCGTCATGGAAGATTATGCACCCCCAAATCATATCACTAACCTTTCGTTGAGCTGGGGTGCACATGCACTCGGAAGCCTTGCTTCCTTACGACGCCATATGGAAAACCTTGGCTTTCGTAATAAAAATTGACTTTATCCCATTGACCATTAATATTCCACCTGACTTTACCTCTTCAACAGTCTTTTTTTCATGTTAAATTCTCTCACTCTCTTCTTTTCAACATGTCTGTGATACCCTTGTCGATACAAATATCGCTGAGCTGTTCGTCGAGACACTTGTCTGGGTCTGTGTTGATTAAATATTTTGGTTAAATCATCCAAAGGGATTTGACGGTTTGTCCAAACCAGTCTCACTGAAGATCTTCATCCCTGCATGGGATCAAGAATCCGTGGTCTCCCGCTTCGATGTATGTTTTCAGTGCTGCCCTTCTTTTTTTAATCCTACTATAACATCGGAAACTGTTAAACTGTTCCACAACGAATGTTGAGTGTATCAACAATTTGCTGTAATATACATGCATGTATACCCCTCATTGACAAAATAATATTTTTCACATCAGAGATCAATCCTTTCCTTTTTCTGCCATTTTTGAAAGAATCTATTAAAAATAGTGCAGACGACAGTCTAGCTTTCGGTAATTACGCAACAAAGAACGTCAGGGAATTCCAAAATCCTAAAAAAAAGAACAACTATACCGTTTGATTGTCAAGATTGTTGTTTAACATCCCTCTCGAGAATTTTTCATTTATATGCATGTAGACGCCACCACCTGCCGCGCCGGCATCATTTTCATGCCAAGCTAAGATAAATGTCACTTTTTTTAAAATCATGAAAAGTATTGAATTTTTACAATAAATTTTTGATAAATTTTTTGTTGGATTTATTGGTTTATGTTAAGTCAAGTGGTGGAGTCTATTATTGAAAAGTCATTAACAAAATATGTTTCCCTCTAGCTAACCGATCAAAACGAGAAATGGGAGGCACGGCGACATTATGTAAAAATGCTCCTGTGAAAGTCTCATTAAATTTTATTCAGTGAGATATCTGAAAAAGATATGATTACTACGGAGTGCTACGGAGATTCCTATTGTAGTTATATTATCGTATAGATAGAATGTTCTATCGTTAAAATGATATTGTTAGTTGAATTTTCGTTCATATTTGGATTCTATTTCAGGTTTAAAGGCATATGCAACCTCAAAAAGGTTTGTTACAATTCATTTGGAAGTTATTTTTGGTGTAAATTCATTTGTATTCTTCAAAATCGTGTCGGAGCGATGCTCCAATATTTTGTTACATTATGAGTATATGGGAGGTATTCTAACTGTGGTGAGGGCTTGTTCCGAGACAGATTATTCTTACTCTACATTGTATTATCGTAGACTGATTGACTGTATGTATTTTTTTTCGTATAATTGAATTTTAACGCATATAGAAAGGTTAACATATACCGATGAAGAGCTTCAAAAAGCCTTCACCCGGAACTACAGGCCATTGAGCAGTTATGTTTTTTTTTGTCTTTCCAATGCCTGTCGTGACGCGGAACCTCGGTGTTTACGTCTTTATGCCGAGTGCTTGGCGAAGGAACAGTTGCTACCTATTTATTTCAGCTAGCTTAGCTAGGCTAGCTGCAACCTTAATTAGTTATAAATGATTGGGATTTTCATGTCCCCCTACGAAGAAAGGAGGGGATATTGCTTTCTGCTCTCTGTCCGTAGGTCCACCATCAGTTTCCGTTCATATTCTTCATAACCGTTGCATACACTGAAATGAAATTTGGTATAGAGATTTATCATACGAATATCTAGAACAAGTTCTGTTTTAGATACAATCGAGCCATTTTTGACAGAGTTACGATGCCCTTTGGACTTTGCAAAATTCCAATGATTTGCCTTTTCCGTTCATTTTTTTTTTGCAGCAGTTGCTCATACTGAAATTAACTTTGGTATATAAGTTTATCATAAGAATATCTAGGTCAAGTTCTGTTTTGGATACATTCGAGCCATTTTTGACAGAGTTATGCCCCTTGGGTTATAAAAATTCCATTTATTTGGGGGAGGGGTCATACATGTAAGTGTTTTACAAACATCTCTTGTCTCTTTTAAAATATGTACAAATAAGTTAGGTGATGATGGAGCAGGAAGAGGTACAGATAAATACAGTTAATGGTGAAACATGCTCCTAAGTAACAACAGCTAAAAAGGCGTGTGTAAAATGTTACCCTTTGGGCGACCAAATCACACAAAAGATCGATATGAGATTGATTGTATGCTGTTTTAGGCCTATGTCCCATTAAAAAATATTTCATTAATATAGACTAGACGTCACCATATACCTGTAATTTTAGAGAAGTTTGAACACATTGACTTTTGAGCATGTACACAGGTAATAGGGTAACAATTTCTTTAAAAAAACCAAGGTACTATGAATGATGTCTGTCAAACAAAGTGATCTCAAAATATTTATCAGTCAAAATATTGATATATCGAGCTTGATCCTTGATATCTGATATCCTCAATTTCTACAGTATTCATTATGTTCTAAAGTATTGAAATGTTTAAACTGTGGCTATTAAAAGGAATTCATTTATGATAAGAAAGAGAACACAATTAGAGAACTACATGTACCAATCCTTTCTTTCTTATCATTTTTGAACTCGAATCTCATAACGTTCGTCCTTTAAACATGTTTGCTTTATATTTATGCTGAAATAATTTCGCTCTCATTTCATTTTCTACAACTGTGCAACATGCCGTTTTATCAGTATTTTATCTCTTGGTTTTGTACTTTGTGGTCTTGAAAGTGCAAATTGTAAGTAATTTTTATAATTTTAAATTATCAAATATTATTGGTAACTCTGTTCATCTCAAACTGTTCTAAATATAACCCGGTGAATCGTACGAAAAGAACGATCGAGACTACTTTTATTCCACTTCGTTGCTAAATTGGTTGGGTGTAAAATGATTTTTATGCGCCCGAGCATTCGCAGTAACTTTTGAACCATAGGAGAAGAGTGCATATTTGGTATGCATACTCCACTGATAAAGTCCTTTTAAACGACAGCAAGTTCAATGACCTTGTGACCTTGACTGTAACCTATATGCTAAAAACAGCTTTTTCGACCTTTTGAACCATACGAGATATATACTTTATATTTGGTATGCATATTCTACTAATTAAGTGCTTTCAAATGACACAAAGTACAATGATCGTGCGACCTTAACTGTGACCTATTTGCTAAAAATTGCTTTTTTTAGAACTTTGTTGCCATCGGGCGCATAGTGTTTCACAAACACATCTTGTTTTTTTTTCTTTTTGTAATACAATATGTAATCATATTATTTTTTCCTTTGAATGAAAAGAGGTTTGAAATTATAGATTTTGCCATATACTGTATATATTTTCTAAGCCTATAAATGCAACATACTAGTATTTTCGATGTCGATCAAGATCTTCTGAAATATTTTGCTACCTTCCTAGATCACGTGGTCTTGTAAAAAGACAAGCAAAAATCTGAATTATAGTACAGTCATACCTCTTTCCACGATTATAAACGACCACAAGTAGCGCTTGCCATCAAACAGTTATTGACCTGTTTTTTTCTAAAGGTAACCATTTACATTTAAAAAAAAACAACAATAATTGTAGGTTTAGATTGCCAGCCTGGTTGGAATCAGTTTCAGAATAAATATATGCTATTGGTTCAGTCATACAGCTAGGCCATGGGGAGAGGCTGAGGTATGCAAAGAAACATGTACAAAGCTATTATAATACAAAGTGTAATTCAAGTCATCTGGCTGTCTTGTTCTGTAAGTGTTTATACAGTTTGTTTCCTACATTAAGATATATGATTTTACCATTCAAACATAAACTTTTGAAACTTAAAAAAACTGAACTTTTAGTTTTACGAGAGTTTTTTTTATTCTATTTTGTGATAAAATAATATATTCTGTAGGCTATATGTGTTGGATTTAAATATATTCTGTAGGCTATATGTGCTGGATTTCATTCAAAGTTGGCGGAACCTAGGACTAGTGCTGAATCATCTTTTCTCATCAGCCATTTTCAAAGTCTTCATGAGTAAAGCATTATTTCTTTTCCCCAGGAAGAACTTCTAAGAAATGTATGTAGCTGCATATTTTTTATGGCCACTCAGGTGATTTTCTCTTCGAATTTCAGCATGTATGGGTGAAGAGGAATAAAATCTATGAATTTCATGACCTCCCTTCCCAGGGACTTAAGAATAGGATTAAATCCTTCAAAATCGTATTAAAAGTCTTCTTTACTTCAGAACATCAGAAATTTAAACTGTTGGCTTGATTGTAATAAGCACTGAATCATTTTCCAAAAGTGTGAAAGTAGGGATAGGGCTCTATAATCATATCATCGCTATAGCTTGCCAAAGGTTTATGATACATTACTCTCCTTATAAACTCGTTGAATTGCGAAGAATTTATTTATTACTAGATACGTTGTTTGTTTAACGTCCCTCTCCAGAATTTTTCACTCATTTGGAGACGTCACCACTTGTCGGTGGAGAGCTGCAAATTTTATCCCATGCTTGCCTTTGAGCAGTTAGAGATCTTTTTCGTGACAACACCTACTGCGACACGGGATCTCGCAAGGACTGGTTTCCACGTCCAACAGCAGGATTCGAACCTCCGACGTAAGGATTAACTCCTTACTTTGCGACTCTAAAGGAGACGTT